CACAGGGCAGTTAAGGCATGGCTCTCAGAAAAAATAGCGAATATTCACCAAATTTATTCTAAAAAATTGGCCTTTTAATAAATTTCCATCAAACTTGGCAAGTGTCTCCAATTTGATAAGTACTACATTTTTAGGACTTTTGTTGCCATGGAAACGAGATCACGTGACACCAGAGCGGCCATCTTGGATTTTTCTTTTGAGGCTCTTGAAAAATATCACAGACTCTATCAAAACAAGTGAAAATCCACAATCTAATAGTTACTATCACTTATTACATAAAACAAATTAGAAATTTTGGTTAACATTTGAAATAATTGAGAAAATATTTTTTTTGTCATTTTTTGAAACTTGTTCAAGGAAAATCAAAGCATCCTTAAGTCTAAACCATTTTTTCTAATTAGGTCTCTATAGAACACATTAATTAATGCTCGGATATAAAGTTTTAAAAGATTTGAAGGTGTCTGTGATATTTTTCAAGAGCCTCAAAAGAAAAATCCAAGATGGCCGCCCTGAAGTCACGTGATATCGTTTCCATGGCAACAAAAGCCCTAAAAATGCAGTACTTACCAAAGTAGAGACACTTGCCAAGTTTGAGTGAATTCTATTGAGAGGCTAATTTTTTGGAATAAATTTGGTTAATATTCGCTATTTTTCCAAGAGCCATGCCTTAACTGCCCTGAGATGTGGGACAGGCCAGGTGATTATATAAGAGTTTGCGCAATGATCATTGTTAACATTACTAAGAAATTCTTCTCAAAATCATAGAGACGTAGTMACCTGTTGGCATAATTTTAATAACGAGTTCTGGATAAGCGATGTTACTGCATCCTGCYTCACTACCACAGATCTTGAGACACTTCTCAGGAACACTGCAAGCCACTCGATCTRAACAACGACAAAAAGTCGACATCCAGTTATTAGCTCGATGGGAAAACTCAAGAGAAGTGGAAAGACCGAAGTCAGTTGTAGAATGAGAGGATAAGTTATTGAACCCGGTTGCAAGAAGGGATATCCACTGGATAAATCTTTATCACTGAGGATGATTAGCTATTTTTTTGTAATAATGCACGACAGAACGTTATTATGGGTATTGCTTATTGGTGGCAACTATTCACACATTAAAGGCAGACAATGTAGGGGGGAGACATCAGACATAAATCTCCTACATCCCATATGTTTTTCGCCATTTCACCCCCCGGTTAGAGCGTGCACAAGACTCACTGTAGTGCATACTGCAACTGGCGCAAGAAGTGTCATTTAAAAAAAACCTTACCTGGAGACAAAACACGGCTGATCATTCCTGGGATGACCAGCGTAAAGAGAGGAAGAATCTTAATGTATGATGCAAATATACACCCGCCTTGTGCATGAGACAGACTTTTGGCTGCTAGAACACGTTGGACAATGACCTAAAAAAACATTAACAATTAATTAAAGATGTTGGTGAATCGTATGGCATAAACATTGTTGACATTGTATTATCGAGATGAGAAGGAGATTACCTGATCAGCACACCAATACCAGATAGACGAGAAGGTCTGACCAAAGATAAGTCCAGGCCATGGAACGTCAGAGAGGGGATCTCTCAACATGATGAACGCATCCTTCCTTGGTCTTCCACATGTACTGTTGGAATACAGAGTGTCGTTGGACATGGAGTGCATGTACTTCTCCTTAAGACCGCTGTAACCACCAACTTTAGAAAAACCTTTTGATAGCAAAAAGTGGTAAAAAGAATTACTGGCAATAGACCTAGACATCATTAGTTGAGTAAAATACAAATGGGAAATACATATAGTAATTTCAAGATAATTTGGATAATCTGCGATCTACCAAATATAGTTGGCTAGATACTTCAGTACGTAAGCAAAATACACATGTTGTTGAATGTTTGCTTGCTGGGATTCCTGTGCTTAATACTTGAAATAGTTTACATCAATTAGAGGAGACGAGACGCCGGATCATCAACCGAGTTTCGAGGTTTGTTTGTTTGTACTACTGGATCAGTACTAAGCGGAAGGAACCTACCCATTGTCATGACTATTAGAGAACCCACAGCCATTAGAATGGTACACAACGTATCAGTATAGATGACGGCAGTTAATCCACCTAGACAGACAGACAGACGGTTAAATGTATGGATAGATNGATGTTTTTCGGAACATCCTGTCTCAATGTCAACTATCACAACATGACACTTAGGGTCCTTAGGAAACTAGACCGACAGTGTAACCTCGTGTCTATTTTCACAATTCATGTCCATGTGGGAGGTAACGTTTCAYTACATTGAAGACATAACAAAAAACGATATTTGATCTTCTCCGACTTAAAATTAAGTGTTCAAAAGTTCAAATAGAACGGAAAGAATCCGTGACTCGTTCACAGCGTGGAGAATTTCCTCCCAACACGTACACCGCAGTGTATGAGCAGTCTAAAGCAAAAACTGTCATATTAAAAATRTAGATAAATGTTTCTTACCTGTTACAGTACAAAGGAAAGTAATAAATAACATTAGAAGAATAGCGAAGTACAGATCCCATCCTAACGCCAAACGAACAAACAGTGCTCCAGCGTACAGGTTAACCTACATCATCAAACAATCAAGCATTTCAACATAAAACATTAATCACTACAATTATAGCCGCAGGCAAATCTCTCCTTGGATAAGCCTTGCGTTGGTAAAGGTATCACTTGCAATATTTTTTTGTAATTGCGTTTTAATTTGCGTACCCATTTTTCGTTTCCGTACGATGGAGAAAAATACAAGGACAGAATCCTTGCAAACGCATCACTTACGGCGATGCTCTAATGTCAAAAGCAGCATAATCTATATAGCGACGGAAATACTTACAGATATCTTAGTGAAGACGTAGAGAAACATCGACAGAGTCGATAGCCACATGCGTATTCTTTGTCCTCCGAACCTYCTATGGATGTACTCCGGAACTGTTGAGATCTATTKGAAAAATAGAGAATTACATGGGCGCACGGAGATACGGATTTTATCTCTCACGAGTGAGCGCAGCGATTTTCAACACAAGAATATAAAATTCGTATCTCCAAGCAACCATGTAATATTTTTTTATCATATAATTATATCTGAAAGCAAATTATTTTCTTACTTCCACTATATAGAGAAACCACGAATGTGTTATTTTCATAAGTGATATTCTTTTTATCATATAATTATATCTGAAAACAAATTATTTTCTTACTTCCACTATATAGAGAAACCACGAATGTGTTATTTTCATAAGTGAAAATAACAACTTTTCAAAGGAATTATAGGYATTTAATAGACAATTGTATGGTAAGTCTTAAAAATTAACTATTTCTTGTGATCACCTTATTTCATTTTCGTAATATCATAATATCATAGCAACAGGCTACTTTAAATAAAATGTAAAACAATACGTACACGAAAATAACAAATAACAACTTTTCGAAAATAACAACTTTTCGAAAGAGAGAAATATAGGTATTTCATAGACATATGATGATGAAAAGAAATATATAATAGAAAAATATTTTAGACGATGAAATAAATAGTGTTTTTAATATGTCTTTCGATTGTGGGCGATGGATTATTTTGAATTATAAGCAATCCCGAGGCTTACCCCTCCTGCTATGTAGACAGGAACTACAATAAAACCAAGAAATGGCAATAATATGTTGGCCTGTGCAATAGAAAACAGAAATAAAATGAATGATTGTAGCCTCCTTCGCAGGCTACTCCATCGGAAAAGGACATTTTCCTCTTCTTGGTCTTCCTGTGTTCATAATTTTGACCGAGAAGAAGTGGTGTCGAGAGATTAGGAACAACTCCACCTTCTTCTTTTCCTTCCTTCCTAGCCCCCTCCCCCTCCTGCAGTTTTTTTTTTTTTTTGCCTTAACACAGGAATTCCACAGGGTAGAGTTGCCTGCGAGGGAAGCTAGAATGATTGTTTGATGAGTTAGCATAATAAGTAGGARCATCAATAAGTCATGTCGCCATGTTTGCTTCGAAAATGATAGCTTGACTGTTCAAACACCTTCTAACAAAAGGTTTTTTAATCACTGTTATTAACCAATTCTGAGGTCGAAGATTGAAGTTGGAGGGTAGGGGGTGGGGGATGGGAGTCGTTTCTCTTACGCTAGTGTTATAGGCTGCTACTCCTATTCCTCCAGCTGCTCCAGAACCAGCCATACCGATGAAGTGCTCACTTCCAATATTACTAGCAAATACCGATGCTCCAACCTGTGGAAAACAACATAATTGTCCCTAATATTTTACTCGATCTCAACCAATAATTAATGCTATTAACGTTTACGTTAACGCACGCGAAGAAAAACACTGTCATGTTTGTACTGTCGCGTGGCAAATAAATTAGGGGCGGATCCAAGGGATGCGCCAGGGAGGTCGGATCGGAGTCCGTTCACGGAAAGTCCTGCTTAAATACACATAGAAATCCATATTCATATGAACTTCATAATTCAGGCGGAAAAACAGACCAACACCAAATTTATAGATTAGTAAATAAAATTTCTGGATCTGTCTGCCGTAACCGTACCACAACTTCTTTCTAACATGCGAAAAATGCTCTACTGATGTTGTACTCACAGGTAGCCAAGTCATAAATCGTCCAGCCAAGAAGTATCCAGTGACAGTATTACGGCTGGATTTCACCGTCGCCTATTGCGAACAATACAAACCTTCATTAGCCATGTTAGACAGAATGTGTGTGTATAAAACAGTATAAAACATACAAGATATAACCAACATACAGCTGTTGAACTTAAAGTTTATGTTGAAAATCCGTTTTTAGTTTAAAATATGAGAGAAATAATATTAATGTTTGGTTTTAAATCACTCTGGTTATAATGTTTCGCTCTTTAATTTTCATCTTCAAACTTCGTCCGACGTCCGCAGTCCAAACTTTAAATACATCCGAAGAAAAAGCGTACTCAAAGAAAACCCTGACCCTGTTCCAGAAAAAAATCGTTGAAATCGATACCCTGTTCCAGAGTTTTTTTTGTTTTTTTTTTGTTTTTTTTTATTTGGAGTTCTGCACACAAGGGTACATAAACATTGGTTCCAAATAATGTAAGGAATGTATAGATAAATATGTTTGTTTTTTTACGGGTTACTATTTCCACATTTTGTCATAGTTCGCAAAGCAAAGCATTCATAAATGTACTTTGCTGCTTGTGTTTGTAATCTTTTTGGAGGATCTATTGAGAGTAAAATCAGAGTAAAATCGTAAAATCACTAAAAACGCCCGGGGGGGTACTCCCATATATTTGCTATACGGGGAGGTGCCGCTGGCCAGGGTATGGTTTTTGGCCTTGCTGTCTTAAACAGGGTATACATTTCACCCGAAATTGTCTTAAATAGGCTCTACAATTTAGATAAAAGACCGATACATTTTCTGTGTGTGTCTTAGACAGGGTAATATTTTCATAAGAAATACCCTAGAAATAATAGAAATACCGTTTCACTGTCCCAGGATTAACGTGTTATCAAAAACTTCTTATTTTCTTTGATGGATGTCAGTATAATTGCACTTTTGATGGTTGCGGCGCAGATTGCTATTCCTTATTTTTCCGATTTGTCTAGAACAGGGTATGGATTTTCACTTTCTAGTGTCTTAAACAGGGTCAGGGATTTAGACCGCTGGCGGCACGT